CCTCTCCTCCAGTATCCCCTATAATCCCAGTTCCTCTCCACCAGTATCCCCTATAATCCCAGTTCCTCTCCACCAGTATCCCCTATAATCCCAGTTCCTCTCCACCAGTATCCCCTATAATCCCAGTTTCTCTCCACCAGTATCCTCTATAATTCCAGTTCCTCTCCACCAGTATCCCTATAATCCCAGTTCCTCTACCCCAGCAGCCACTGGTCTCTCTGGTTGCTCCTCATCTTCTAGCTGAGGACCATCATCATCTGCTGCCATGATCTCCACCTGCTGCAGGTTCAGGAACCAATGGATGAAAATGATCCAATGAACAACATCTATCAGCTTCTAGATCTACATTTATTCACTGATGTTTTAACAGATTTTACAGCAACACTGAAAATATAGAAAACAGTAGAAACAATCAGGAGGTTAAAGGAGACAGAAACAGATCTATAAACACTTTCTATGTCAGTAAAGGAAAACAGTGAGTCAGACCAGAGATCGGAGGTCAACAGGTCGTCTCCATGTCATGTATTTAATCTACCCAGCCAATTAACCAGGTGAGTCCAATCTGCACAGGTTAATTCACGGTGAAGATTGGACTCACCTGCTTCAGTGGCTGGGTAGAACACATGACATGGAGATGACTTGTTGACTCCACATTTCCCATCTCTGACTCAGACTAAACAGAACAGGACGTTCTAGTTCCTGTTATCATGATTCTTCATGGGGGGTCCAGGTGAGTACAGGTGAGCTGCAGGGGGCGGGGCATCCTGGTCAGGAAGTCTCTGTCTCCTCTGCTGAATCGTCTGACCTCTGATAGAAACACAGAAACAGATCAATCAGACCCGGATCCAGCAGCTTCTGCTGAGGGTCTATGGAGACTGGTTACCATGGCAACCACATTTCAAAACAGTTAGAATCAGTCCACTGGACTTTGTTTCCAAGTTTTTAGATGTTTCTCTCCCAGGAAGCTTTTTCAATCTAAAGATGGCGGCAGGAGAAACCCTTTGATGTTCCTCCTCTTTCCACCTGCAGAATATCAGAGGCAGAGAAACAGTCAGGACACGTCTACAACCAGATAGTGACCTGAACACCAGGACTGATTTCTCTGGACCAGATCTGGACCCTGCTGGACCTTTGCCTTTCCAGGGATCATTGTTCAGACAGAAGCATGGCTGCGCAATGGGATCTCCAGTATCACCAACTGTAGACAATCTTTACATGGAAGAAATGGAAAAGAGAGCTTTAGACACTTTCAATGGAATACCACCAAGCCACTGGTTTAGATACGTGGATGACACTTTGGTCAAAATCCAGTTAGAGGAAGTGGAAGCTTTCACCAAACACATCAACTCTGTTGACCGTAACATCAGATTCACCAGAGAGGATGCCAAGGACAACAAACTACCCTTTCTGGACTGCCTGGTGAGCATGGAAGGAGATGGAAGCCTAAACATTGAAGTGTATAGGAAACCTACTCACACATATTGGAGAAACCAGCGTGTGAAATACCTGTCAACATTTGGGGGGGTCCCCATCTCCCCATTGTTGCACAATGCCGATCTAAATGTTCTCAATATGCAGTCGGCCTGTAACATTTCAAAGTCAGCTTTAATGTCAATTCTTCAGATTCACCAGACATAGAAGGACTGGAGGACACTAAAGACCAAAATGTCCTCCTCCATTTATTCTCCTAAATTAGATGCACCAGTCTGAGGTGGTTAGCTGCATAAAGACATCTGTCCACCTCAGACAACCAGGAAGAAACTACTAACAAGGCCCGGACCAAAGAGCTGTCCAAAGACACTAGAGACTAAACTGTCCTCCTCCACCAGGGTGGAAAAGCTGCAGGGAAATAACCGAGCAGCTTGGTGGAAAAAGCTCCGCTGTTGGAGCTTCATTAGAAAATGGAAGAAGCTAAACATGGCTGTCAGTCTCCCTCAGACTGGAGCTCCATGCAGGATCTCACCTGGTGGGGATCAATGATCCTAGGAAAGGTGAGAAATCAGCCCAGAACTACGGCTGCTCAATGACCTGGAGAGAGCTGGGACCACCGTTTCCATGGTTACTGTTGGTAATACACTAGGACGTCATGGTTTGAAATCATGCATGGAAGGTTCCCCTGCTTAAAGCAGCACATGTCAGGGCTGTCTGCAGTTAATGAGCATCTGGATGATCCAGAGGAGAGAAAGTCATGTGATCAGATGAGACCAACATAGAACTTTATGGTCATTATTCCACTAACCGTGTTTGGAGGAAGAAGAATGATGAGAACCATCCCAAGAACACCGTCCCTACTGTGAAGCATGGCGGTGGTAGCATCATGCTGTGGGCTGTTTTTCTGCCCATGAGACAGAGTGACTGCACTGTTTTAAGGAGAGGATGAGCGGGGCCATGGATTAACAGATTATTGGGAACAACCTCCTCCCCTCAGTTAGAGCAGTGAAGATGGTGGAGGCTGGGTCTTCCAGCATCGAGCCGAACCACACAGCCAGGATAACTAAGGAGCGGATCTGAAAAAATGAGATCTAGGTTCTAGCATGGCCTAGCCAGTCTCCAGACCTAAACCCAACAGAGAATCTATGGAGGGAGTGACAGCCCAGAAACCTGGCTGATCTACAGTAGATCTGTGTGGAGGAGTGGGCCAAAATCACTGCTGCAGTGGTTTCACACCTGCTGAAAAACTACAGGAAACCTTTGACCTCTGGAATGAAAGGCTACTGGACCAAATATTAACACTGATTTTCTCAGGTGGTCAAACGCTGATCTTCCTCAGAGTAAATCCTAACCTCTATCTGACCGTCACCAAGGTTCAGTCTCCGTTTAGTCAGACTTTAGAATGAGAACCTGGACTTTACCTTCTGAGCTCTGATTGGTCAGTTTCCTGCAGGTGAGGGAAACCTGCTGCCTGATGACATCACTGCTGCAGAGGGACAACAGGAAGTGGAGCAGGACGTCCTCAGAGTCTCCATCAGTCCCCTGAGAGACAAAGACGGGTTAATAAACTCACCTGAAGCTGATTCAGCTCAGACTGACCAGGTACTGACCAGGCTCCGCCCCCTAGGAGTCACACTGATGTGACCTCTGACCCTGACCGCTCTCTGAAGCCCCTCCCACTGAGGATCAGCCAATCCCAGCAGACTCTGGACCTGTTTCCCTGACAACCAGACCTGAGCCTCAGCCGTCCCATCGTCCATCACCAACCTGAGGGACAAACAGAACCAGAACCATCGGGTCAGAGGGTACCAGGTTCTAACGTCGGTTCAGATGGTACCAGGTTCTAAAGGCGGGTCAGTCCGTACCAGGTTCTAAGGTCGGGTCAGATGGTGCCAGGTTCTAAGGTCGGGTCAGACGGTACCAGGTTCTAATGTTAGGTCAGACGGTACCAGGTTCTAAAGGCGGGTCAGACGGTACCAGGTTCTAAAGGCGGGTCAGANGTTTCTAACTACCAACCATAACAATGGAAAAGTATCACATTTATTTTTTTTAATTTACCAATACCGTTTTATTATTTACAGCAGGTTTTTTAGTGGCAGATTAACAACATGATCAGGATCAGATTAAGAATATCTCTTTAATCCTAAGGTCCTTCAGTCTGATAAAAGAGGAATTAGACAGAAATGATATTTTATTCCTTTATAGGAAAATCATCTTCCCTCCATCAGGGAATCAAACCCTGATGAACATCAATAACAGACGAACCGCTGCTCCACCAGCCTGATCACTGAGATCCACCTGAGATTTAAAGATCTTTGAATGACTGAATAAATCCAGATTAAACATTTTAATCCAGGAGTTAGATGGGATTATCCAGGATTATCAGACAGCTGCTTCCAGATCTAATCCATATGATCTAGAATCTCTACATCTGTTATCGACCATCATGGCTGCCTGATGTTCCCATGACTTTACCAAACATGTTACAGAGCTAGCATGGGAGCTAATGAGCTAATGCTAGGTGGGATTCCTGTCTCCTAGCAACAGGCTGACAGACATGATTGAGACCTGCTGCTCCTCCAGAGTTTATCATCTAGAATCTACATTCTAGATCGTTCCTTAGAGCGAAGAACATCACATAGCACTCCTCCACCCCCCAACCCACACACACTTAAACCACCCCCCATGGACAATACACCTACCTTAGCTTAGCTTTGTCTTCAATTTTATATTTCTCTTTCAATAACTCTTCAGGGCAATATTCAGTAACTCTGTGCAATATTTGTTTATTGATGTTACTTCTTCAATAACTCAATATATATGTATAGATATATACTCTTACCCTGTATAAAAGTAGCTCTCACTCATGGAAAACATATTTATTGTGCAGGAATTAGGTCTTAGCTCTGTTACACTGGTAGCCAAGTAATCGATATTTTGTTGTCAAGATTCACCTTGTGTTTTTTTGTGCAATGACAATAAAGGAAGTCTAAGTCTAAGGATAATTTCAAACTGTTAGCATGGCTAACGCTAGCTCCAGCTGACCAGGGCTGGATGCTGCATTCACTGGTAATGGGAAAAACCAGGAGCGTTTGCTGATGTCAGGATAAACCAGCAGGTTAACAATCTGTGGTTCTACTGCTGATCCAGAACCTTGGTTCTGATCCAGTTTGTCATCTTTCTTCCAGGGCGGATCCTGGTTCCTACCAACTGATCCTGGATGGTGGTTCTGATCCGGTCTATCATGTGATCCTGGTTCCTACCAACTGATCCTGGATGGTGGTTCTGATCCGGTCTATCATGTGATTCTGGTTCCTACCCGCTGATCCTGGATGGTGGTTCTGATCCGGTCTATCATGTGATTCTGGTTCCTACCCACTGATCCTGGATGGTGGTTCTGATCCGGTCCATCAT